ATATACTGCTCAGCCATACTCTGTGCAACATAATATTTAATAATAACAACAACAACAACAACAACAACAACAATGTGCTACTCAGCTTTACTCCATGCAGCTAATTATTTTAAAATAATTATAATAATCATAATAATATTATTATATTATATTATATATAATAATTATTATTATTATACTATTTGCAACATAATACTTTCAAATAATAATAATAAAAAAATAAATAATAATAACAACAATGTGCTACTCAGCTTTAATAATAATACAAATAATATGCTGATTAGCTTTACTCTGTGCAACGTATTATTTTAAAACAACAACAATAATAGTGCTGCTCAGCTTTACTCCACGCAGCATATTATTTTAAAACAATAATAACAATTTATTATTATTAAATAAACACATGACCATTTGCCCAAGCTGCCGATTCCTTTACTAAAGGTCAAAATCACTCACCGGTCATCCACTTCTAAAAAGACACAGCCTGGCGAATGAGTCGTGCTGAATATGCGCTTGTTCATGGGAATGCGAGGGGCTGGAGACAAAGCAACACGCAAACACACACAAATAACGATCATTTGATCAGACAGCCAAGAGTAAAAGCAAAAAAGACATTTCACTTAACACTAAACTAACAATGCAGAATAACCATATTTCATTCCGGCAGAGTTAAACAAATAACATATTCAGGTCATGTGACAATAAAGTACTGCACTACTGTTTGAGAACGTGGTGAGGTGAAAGGTACCCTTATATCCTGAGATGATGCGCTCGGCCAGGGCCAGACAGCACGGCTCCTCTACGCTCAATCCCTGAACCTTCAGCAGGTGCGGAGTGAGCCGGAAAGGACTATAACGCATTTCTCCATCTCTATCCTTCCCTCCTCTGAACACACACATAGAAAAACGTTTAAAAGACACACTTAATATTCAGTAATATTATCAGTTTGACTGCACTGACAACAGAGAGAACAAATGAGAAGAACTGAACAAAAATGAACGGGATAATGATACTATTAGCTTCTGTAGAGCTGCTTTATAGATAAAAAAAGGGGCAAGTCGTGGCCTAATGGTTAGAGAGTCGGACTCGCAACCCAAAGGTTGCAGGTTCGAGTCTCGTACCGGCAGGGATTGTAGGTGGGGGGAGTGAATGTACCCGAACCCCCAACTGCTCCCCGGGCGCCGCAGCAAAAAATGGCTGCCCACTGCTCCGGGTGTGTGTTCACGGTTTGTGTGTGTTCACTGCTGTGTGTGTGTGCACTTGATAAATGATAAATGCAGAGCACTAATTCCGAGTATGGGTTACCATACTTGGCCACATGTCACGTCACTTTCACTTTTCACTTTCAAAAAAAAAAAGCTTGTGTCATAATTTGATGAACGTTGCACTATTATTGAGCACTATTTATTACTGAATAAATAAGCTGAATAATTGAAGGACGTTACTGAAGGACTATTGTCTTGTTTATTATGGTGAAGCTGTTTTAAACCAATCTGTATTGTAAAAAGTGCTACATAAATAAATGCAATATTAATGAGACACAGATGAGAATGAGTAATAATGCTGTACAAGGGGCAATTCTGATAAGGTGAAACACACTGACATGATTCGACAGAAGAAGGACTTGACCTGGGCACATTCAAACAGAACCGCCGCTACAGAGAGACAAAGAGGAATAGCATCTTTCATTCTTAAAATGAACATTTCAATTTATCAAAGATGTTTGCATTATTCAATGATGTTTGCATTATTCAATGCATGTGCAATATCAGTGAAAGCCTCCAGAGCGACTCACCGCTGTCTGTGCCCACGTTCCAGGGCGGCAGCGACGGTTGCGCCGTGTGCGAGTAAAACACATTGACGTCCTGATGGTACAGCAGCTCCACGAACTTGGCAGATTCCAGAAACTTCCTCTTGCAGTGAAGCACACTGGAGGCCTTTTCGGAAGTGTAAACCACCTTCCCAGAGGCCAGAGAGAAGACCACCGCAAACGTGTCCTGAGAACACCACAGAACTCCTTGTATATGTGAACTCCTTCCCCAGAGACGGAACTCATTAAAGGAATAGTTCAACCAAAAATGAAAATTCTGTCATCATTTACTCCAACCCTTAAGTTGTTCCAAACATGCATGTGTTTATATACAGATATTTTGAAGAATGTTGGAATACTATGGAAGTCAATGGGGACCAGCAACTGTTTGGTTCCCAACATTCTTCTCAGATCAGAAAATCTTCTTTTATGTTCAACAGAAGAAAAAAACTTTTTGGAAATATAAATGATGACAGAATTTTCATTTTTGGGTGATTTATCACTTTAAGGCAAGACCTCACAGGTGAATAGGGTAGATATCACTAGGGTTGGGTATCGTTTGGGTTTTTTTCGATACCGGTGCCAAATCGATACTTTTAAAACAGTTCCAGTGCCTAAACGGTGCCTGAACCGATACTTATTAAAAAATAAAAAATAAAAAAATAAAAAAAATCCCCCCAAAAATGATGGATTGGCCATTAGCACTATAAACACATGATGTCTGTTTCATTCATACTGGACGCCAGAGGGCGCCATCGCACAGAAAATCCACATATCCACAGAAGTAGCAAACTCATGACCTCCAGGAAATCCCTTATATGGACAATAGGGATGGGCGATACCACTTATTTTGTTTTCGATACGATATCGATATTTTTCAAGGCAGTATCGTCGATATCGATACCGATACGATACTGCTCAACTAAACTTTTAAATGATGAAATTTATGAAATTATTAAATTACTAAGAGTAAAATGGGTAATGATAACCACTTAACTTTATGTTTAAAACACATTTTAACATTCAATACGCCTTAATTGTAATTTATTAGGTTATATTTTTGCTTACACATGGTTCAAATATGTTTTTTGTTTACACATGATTCAAATCTACTAATACTACAGCTGAACTATGGTCATTTTAGTAAAACCATGGTTCATTTTCATAAGGGACTGCTAGTGACAGGCTGTTGCATCCATAAAATGCAACCTTTTTATTCTGACAGTGTATGATTTCTATTAACATTACAGAATAAAACATGATCTATATTATCTTTCAACGTTCAATTTAAGTAAATGTAACTGTACAAACTATGTAGGTTACGATTTCAATTTGTTTATTGTGAAATAACTCAAACATATGTTTTTTTCTGTCCTCTGATAAGCATTGTTCAGGGCTGCTGTTCCCAAAAGCTTTAATGCTTCCTTATCATACTTTTGGGAAACGCAGCCCTGTTTGAATGCACTTTTATCTCTTTGATGGATTGGTTCTGTCTTGCAACATTTGCATGTGTTCAGATGAGCAGGAAAATTGTTCTATCCTACACAATTACTTGCGAACAAATGTTATTCGTCCAATTCAATGCATTTGTACGCATTATTATTATTATTTTAAATAAACAAAATCACTGGTAAATAAAACACACCTTAGTATCGATATTTTTAGATTGAGTATCGATACACCGATATATCGATACTTAGGATCGATACGCCCATCCCTAATGGACAAAGGCACCACTATTATAGCTGCAACTGAGTAAACAGAACATATAAACGTTTTGAATGATAAAGAGCTTTCCGACTTGAGTTACGTGCATTTTCTCAGTCGGGAAATTATTTTTCACATGCGGTGCCAGTGATGATACTTCTTACGTCCGTTTCGGAGAACCAGAGGACAAATATTTCAATCGATCGCTCAGGCATGGCACCGAAATGAGGCACCGAAATCTGCGTTCGGATTCGGTTCTAGTACATAATGGTTACATAGGTACCGGTGCCATATTGGTACCGGGTTTCGGTACCCAACCCTAGATATCACCCAGATATCAACTAGTTAACTGATTACATTAAAAATTGCAACCCAAACTTTCTGAAATGTAATGTTTTAATATACAAATGAGATATTTGCTAATTAAAGATGCACTAATCTGCATACAACTGGAGAACAGAAATCAGAACATTTTATATAGCCACGTTCACAATTATTGTTTCATTTTATCGACATATTAGAGTGAAAGATGTTTACAGAGGGGATTTCGAATATCTCTTTTTATCACTTATATAAATCAGAACATATTGACAACACAGACAGAACAAAACAAGTATATGATCCATGTTTTAAGGAATAAAAAGTTGTAAATTAGGCAAATGATATATAAACACAAAATTATTTTAGCATCACTGAGATACTATTATGGATTTGTTAATATTTTTAATTCGATTTTATTTTATGTTCTTTTAGATAAATCTTTAGAAATTTAGTAGTGTTTTTTTTATTTTTTGTTGTTTGTAAATGTCTATATAACTTTTATTTTTTACTTCAGTTTTAGTTTGATATTTTAGCACATCAAGTTAAACTTAAATGAAAATTTTGAATATCTTATTAACATTTATTTTAAGTTGAGAATTTTTTTTATGGTTTAAGTTTACATTTTTTGTTTTAGCTAACTCTAATAACTCGCGGGAAAAACCCCCGTGTAAAAACCTTCAGAATATAGACAGAAATAAAACCATAAAGTTTGTAAGTGCTGCTGAAGTGGACATTTCTGACTTCTGAAAAACCCAAGAGAAAACCGCCCTTAAAGACAGGTATTGCAGTTCAAATCTACAGATGCAAATAGATACAACAGAAAAGTGTATTTTGGAATTTTTCCTTCCACTAGTCTGAACAACACATAATGAAAAGCCAAATAGCCCCAAATCTCAAAACTGACCAGTGAAAAGGCTTTGAGAGGAAACTCAGCAGGACCTACGGTGTTTTTCAGCGTGTGTTCTGATGTGATTCCCTCCAGCTCCTCCAGCGTGCACACGGTAGCATCTCGTCTCTCCTCCAGTCCACTGCTCATTAGTAAGTTGTAGTACTCACTGTTTGCTGCAGGGGGCGGCAGAGGAAGAGTAAAAATGAGCCGAGCATGAGAACCACAATCTTTTAGTTAATCAGCGTTTGGCTTAAACAACAGAGCAGGTGGCTCACAAGAGACCATGCCAGATATTACAACACCAGACTACTGGGAAATTTCACATAGCATTACATCACAGACTGAATAATGACATGTATTTCAAGTGATGGTAAATAAACATAAGCAGAAAAATAAACCCATATAGGCACTGGAGAAGCTTGAATTAATATTAATAAAATACATTTAATTAATAAAACTAAATGCATGATGATTAAATCCCTTAAAATATTACCATGATAACTATCATTTCCACCAAATAAACTCAATATAACCTTGCAAAAACTTTATTTTTTTTGGCCATTAATTTGATACAATTGCCATATACAAAACAGATTTTGAAAAACAAAAAAAATTGTAGAACTTGCAGCAAACCTATAGCAACACATTCAAATATGCCAAAAGAAGCGCTTGTGCATGTGAAAATATGAACTTGCTGTAATTTGTGGCAAAATCGGTATATTTTGGTAAGGGTAACCACAGCTGAAAAAATAAATAAATGACAAATCTGTGGTGTTTTAGCAGATTTCCTTGCATAAGCGACCTTACAGAGTGGCATTTTTCAAACTGAACTTTTCTAAGTGATAACTGTAATCTATAGGACTTTCTTTATGCATATCAGAAAATTTGTTGTTTGCACAACCATACATTATTTCAGCTACCATTAAGAAGCTACTGAGTGCTAAACATATCAAGCATGCATGATTCAGTAGAAAATTCCTTGTGATTTGGTGACTAAATGCTTATTGTAGCAACAGTGTCATCAGAGCATCTGTTGTAGTTCACTGAGGGCAACATTATAAACTTGAAGATTAAAGATATTTTATTTTTATTAGAGATGTTTGGATTTTTATTTTGTTTTATTGTTTTATTTTTATTAAATGCTCATAATAACATTTTATGTGATAAAAAATAAAATAAAAACACAAAAATAAACACATATTTCTTGGTCTTTGGCTTATTTAGTTTCCTATAAAGTTGACTAAAATAGCCCAAGAGTTCAAAGCATAATGTTTTCAATGTCTGCCCTTGCTGAACCACAGCAGATGTTTTGATTCTGTTGCTACTATGAGAATCTATACCCCCAAAAAACAGGAAATACATCTCAGCCACATTCCAGAGTGTCGAGTTTCACAATTACTGAACGACATGACGCACATGATGACCTCATGCAGAAACTATCAGCATCTGCCCACATCATCTCAATACAGGCGTTATACTGTAAAACATATTTGATATAGCGATAAACAAAACATGGGAAAGCACTGAGAAGGAGTGAACAGAATTAGCAGGGTTTTACTGCCAGCGAGCGGTTAGGACCTGGACTCGCCCTTCCTGCAGACGCAGCTGTTACATAATCACAGATGCTCTGCTGCGGATCTGAATGTGTGCTGCCGTTATAACAGCAGTGTGTGTGTTTATACCTTGTACTTGTTTGACACAGTTCAGTGCATAGTTCAGTGCCTCTACAGTACTGGCTTTACTGCGGCTTCTCTTCTCAGACGGCAGCCGTTTCTTCATCTGCTGCACCGTCTGCATCATCTCTCGGTGCGTCTGTTCACGGCCGTGCTCCGTCTGCTCACTGCACATGCACACATTTGTATTCATTCACTCATTCGACATGTTTGTTTGAATTTTAACCTAATATTAATTCATTATAATGGAAGCCCATTTCTGCCACATAAGAAAAAAATCTAAATGATGACAAAAAGTTGAAATGATGAGATACGAAGTCATAATTTTGAGATAAAAAGTTGACCATTTTACTTCATAATTGTGACTTTTTATATAATAATAATTTCAACTTTTTAAAATTAATCTCAATTTTATCATTTTATCAAGCATGATTTTATTTGAAAATATTTGAAAAGTAATTAAGACTTTTATGGCATAATTATGGGGTTTTATCTAATAATGATACATTTTTGTTCATTTTTCTCATAACTGATGTGTCAATTTTGACTTCTCATAAAAAGTAATTAAAAGTAAAAAAACAACAACTTTTAATGTAATAATTATGATTTTTTTGTTTAATTTTAACTTAGTATCTTATCATTACTACTATTTATTTCAGAATTATGATTTAACAAAGCATTATTTTGTTATTTTGGCGAATAATGATCACTTTTTATCTTGTAATTTAAACCTTTTGTCAATTTATCTCATAATTGACTTAATGTGTCAGTTTCTACTTTTAATTTCATATTCAGAATTATGCCGTAAAATTTCAACTTTTAATGTCATAATTGACTTTTTATCTGGTAAAAAGTAATCATTACGACATAATTTCAACTTTTTATGTCAGAATTATTATTTAACAAAGCATAATTTTGTTATGTGGTGAAAATTTCTATGATAATTATAACTTTTTTGCCTTGTAATTTAAGCTTTTTCTCTATTTATCTCATAATTGACTTAGTGTGTCAATTTCGGCTTTTAATCTCATAAAAAGTCATAATTATGACACACATTTCAGCTTTTAAATGTCATAATAATGACTTATTTACTTTTTTTTTATTACAGGGGTGTGAAAAAGTGTTGGCCCCCTTCCTGTTTTTTAAATTGTTTTTTTGTCACACTTAAAAGATTCAGATCATCAAACAAATTTTAATATTACACAAATATAATGCAAGTAAATACAAAATGCAGTTCTTAAATGATTATTTATTTTATTAAGGGAAAAAAGCTGTCCAAACCTGCCTGGCCCTACGTGAAAAAGTAATTGCCCCCTAAATCTAATAACTGGTTGCGCCACGCTTTGCAGCAACAACTGCAATCAAGTGTTTGCGATAACTGGCAATGAGTCTTTCACATTGCTGTGGATGAATTTTGGCCCACTCTTCTTTGCAGAATTGTTTTAATTCAGCCACATTGGAGGGTTTTCGAGCATGAATGGACTGTTTAAGCATTTCAATCGGATTTAAGTCTTGGCCATTGACTTGGCCACTCCAAAACCTTCATTTAGTTTTTCTTGAGCCATTCAGAGGTGGACTTGCTGGTGTGTTTGGGATCATTGTCCTGCTGCATAACCCAAGTGCGCTTGAG